ACAGCATATTAAAAAGCAGAGACATTACTTTGTCAAAAAAAGGCCCATTTAGTCAAAACTATGGTTTTTCCAGTAGCCATGTGTGGATGTGAGAGATGGACTATAAAGAATGCTGAGTACCGAAGAATTGATGCCTTTGACCTGTGGTGTTGGAGAAGACTCTTGAGAGTCCCTTGGACTGCAAGGAGATGCAAACAGTCCATCCTAAAGGAAATCAGTCCTGAATATTCACTGGAAGGATTGATGCGGAAGCTGAAACTCCGATACTTTGGCCACCTGATGTGAAGAACTGACTCATTTGAAAAGAAGCTGATTCTGGGAACAATTGAAGGCAGAAGGAGAAGGGGACAACAGGGAATGAGATGGTTGGATGGCATCACTGACTCAATGGACATGAGTTTGAGAAAACTCTGGGAGTTGGTGGTGGACAGGGAGGCCTGGCGTGCTGCAGTCCATGGGGTCACAGAGTTGGACAGGACTGAACGACTGAACTGAACTGAATATCTACGAAGTTTTAAGATTCAAATATATTGGAGGGAGAGAAAAGAGAGCAAAATGCCTCCAACTTTTCTTGCCTGAATAGTTGGATAAATTCTGGCACAAATACATGGTAGAACAAGTAGGAATGGATTTGGGGAGAGAATCCAGGATTTCTGCCTGGTACATGTTTGCAATGCATGAGAGACATCCACATAGAGTTATCAAGTAGGAATTTAGATCAATGGGAATGAGACTCAGAAGAAAAGTCTGTATGCAACTGAACTGAGCTGAACTGAATAAACAAGCACTAGCCAAAATTTCTCTTGACTTTAGCTCTCTGAGGACTTAATATGGCTTTCTTACTCAGCTGCCTTCTTCATAATACTCATTTTAGGGTTAGTAGTTTTCATAAGCATTAAAACAGTTCCTGGTGTAGTAACTCTAAAAGTTTTCTTTGCTGAATTAAAATGAAAACGTTTAAGTAGAATGCTTCCCTTGTAGTTCAGTCAGTAAAGAATCTGCCTGCAATGCAGTAGACCTGGGTTCAACTCCTGGGCTGGGAAGATCCCCTGGAGAAGGAAATGGCAACCCACTCCAGTATTCTTGCCTGGAGAACCCCACAGACAAAGGATCGTGGCAGGCTACACTCCATGGGGTTGCAAGAGTCCAACACAACTTAGCGACTATACCACCACCACCATCCTCATAAATGGGGCTTCTCTGGTGGCTCATCAATAAAGAATCCTCCTGAAATGCAGGAGACATGGGTTCAATATCTGGGTTGGGAAGATCCTTTGGAGAAGGAAATGGCTACCCACTCCAGTATTGTTTCCTGGGAAATCCCATGGACAGAGGAGCCTAGCAGGCTACAGTCCATGGGGTGGCAATGAGTCAGACTTGGCTTAGCAATGAAAAAACAACATCTTCATAAAGCCTACCCTAACACAATTTCTACATGTTTGGAGAAGGAAATGGCAAGCCACTCCAGTGTTCTTGCCTAGAGAATCCTGGGGACAGAGGAGCCTGGTGGGCTGCTGTCCATAGGGTTGCACAGAGTCAGACATTACTAAAGCGATTTAGCAGCAGCAGCAGCTACATATATGTGGGCAGAAATATTATATGTTTTTTACAATTCATTGTCATCTCAGTTAATTTTTCAGTTTTCTGATCTTTTAAACAGTAGTTAATGTTAAATCAATCATTAAGAAGTATTTTCCTGTTGTTGTTCCACATTAAGCAAGCATTATGAAATAACAAAAACAAAACTTATTTGAAGCAATAAATTATTCACAGGATTTATGTTTCATCATATTGATTAACGAGATTCCAGTAGAAAACAATGCATACCTTATTAAACAAATTATGTATAGTATAATAATTCAAGAGCCACGAATCTTAACCATAAGCACTCACAGCTTTATTTGAATACAAAAGTTCTGCTGCATTATAATTAGTCTTCATTGAAAGGACTAACTAGAAATGTCGCTCAGTCGTATCCTACTCTTCGTGACCCCATGGACTACATAGTCCAAGGAATTCTCCAGGCCAGAATACCAGTATGGGTAAGTCTTTCCCTTCTCCAGGGAATCTTCCCAACCCAGGGATCTAACTCAGGTCTCCCGCATTGCAGGCAGATTGCTTATCTGCTGAGTCACCAGGGAAGCCGATATACTTTTTAACACAATGGAAATAAGACAATCCAAAGTCCTGATCTTAACCATAAGCACTCACAACTCTATTTGAATACAAAAGTTCAGGTGCATTATAATTATTCTTCTTTGAATGGACTAACCTGAAATGTCACAGCCACGCTAAACGAGAAGATAGAATTAAAGTATTACTATTAAACTACATTTTAAAGTAACTACTCTTCCAATTTTCTTATATAACATCTCATTTATAACAACTAATTCCTTACTTTTAAGTATGTTTGTATGTGTTTTATTCCAGTTATTTAAGGCACAATTTCCACTAAATTCATTAGTTCTGAGGATGTTTAATTGCATTATAATAGATCTCTTAAGCTTAAATTACCAAAACATCTTAGCTTTGAAGAGAACACTCAGCATTTTGTTTTATAATCCCCCTTAGCACTTTGTACAGACAACCAGTCCAAGAGATTTGCATATTTAAACAATCTTGATAGCAGAAGACATATCCATAGACTTCCCTGATGCTTCAGCCAATGCAATATTGAAATTAAAACATATCAGTATGGAGGCATACATTTCATTCAATAAATCATTTTGCTTAAATAAAAGAGCAAAAATTATAGGAGCAAAGATTATTTCAATAGAGCAGAACCTTAATAGCAGCCTATTTATATCTCAGATAATTATTTTTGTTTCCTGAAGGACTTAATTAATCCATACTAAATATGTACAACCAAATGCAATTTTTATTTGAATTTTGTGTTTGATATACTTGCTTCACTAAAAAACAAGCAACAGAAGAGTTCAACACTGGTCACTTTTTATCCACATTGGCCTGCTTTCTTTGTCCAAAGTAAATATAGACACACAGACACACACACACACCCATATACATACCTGCATATACTCACACCAACACATGCAGATATTCAGCAGATATTCAGATATACACAAGCACACAGAATTATTATTTGGTTTTAAAGAAGTTCAAGTGTGTGGTAAGTTTTAAAACCCATATAAGATGTCTATAGTCTAGCAGTATTCTATTAAGTAAATATTTATGTATAAATAAACATTCGGCTCCCTAAAAGGACAGTTAATTGAATCAATTGTATATGGGCACGTGTATACATGCATGCATGTGTGTTTGTGTGTATCTAAGCCTCAGATGAGGTAACTGGAACATAGTCTCCTCGATTCTTTCCTCCAGGAAGATGCATATTTAAAGTAAGAAATACACATCTTTTATATATAAAACAATCATGGTTATTGGGAAATTACCACAAAATGAGAAACACTACTGTCAAATAATGAGTTGGCTTAAGAATGTTTATCACACATGTCAATCATATTACAATACAGGCATGCATTAAGTCAACATGCTGTACCCCTTTAATTACACAGCATTACACTTCAAATATATCACAGTAAAAAATATTTTCTATCAATTCTGAAGTAGCCTATCAGAACAACATAAATATATATACATATACAATTTTTGTCCTAGAATTTTGATTACTAGGCTGGTAAACATTTTTATTTCTAAATATTTAGTAATACCTTGGTACTCTTAACATAAATGCTTGCATGCTCACTTTAGGTCACATTATATTATTAATTTTTATTATATCCCATTTTTATTTATCTCATTTATTTTATAATTATAATGCATATAATATGTGGATATATACACAGGTGTATATGTGCAATTCTTCATTTACATATCTGTGTCTTTACACCTTCTTCACTGTTTTCTTCCTAAGTTATGGGGATTTAAAGGGTTAAGACAGTGTGTCTGAGGTCTCCTCCCGGCCAGTGTAGTTTGTGATGGAGCACCCGAGGGGAAGAAAGAAGGCACCTTCCCATAAACATGGCGATGACAATCCTCCTAGCAATCTGATGGCATTAACCACTGTGGTAAGCCTGTCCATAGCATCTCTTCAGTTACCGTACCTCACTGTCTGAGGCAATGGTTAATAAACTGTAATGTGCACTTACTGAGCAGTGTTCCCTGAAAAACATGTTGTATGCTATGTAACTGTATGATGATAAGGAGATATTTATGACCAAATATTACCCCTGCGTTAGTTATCTGGCAGTGATCTTTACTTAAAGATCCCACATGTTAACTAGATTCAGAATGACTCTCACATTACCAGCAAGGATCTAGGAAGCTGCTGGAACATCTTAGACCTCTCTCTGGCCTATCTATATCTCTTGATTATGTATATTCTTGAAACTGTTTATTAAACTTGAACCATTTCATAGTGAACATTTGGCTACTTTTAAAAAATGGGTTTATATTTACCTTTAGCCAAATTTCTATTCATAAACTCTTTGTTGATAAGACTATGAGTTTTTGTGGTTTATAGATTATGCTGCTAGAACATAGTCTTACACTGAATTATTGAGTGTCCTTCATTACCATTTTGGCATCACATAATATAATATGATATGACTATTTTGGCTACAAAAAAAGAGAAGAAATAGAGAAGAATTCATTTTTTTTTTAACAAATGCTTACATATCTTTGGCTTTATTCTCAGTTAATTTCATTTACATAACACACTACTTTAAGACTGAAGTGTTATGTAATCCCTGTTTTAAACAGCATTTATTTAAATGTCACAGAAAGATGCAAAAATGAAAAGTTTTTACTGATATAGGTATAAATGATGGATAATCAGGTATTAAGGAGGACAGTTAATTTATCTTCAAATATTTAGTCACACTGTCCTGGAAAACCTGAGGGCATTTTTAAAGTTCTAAAATAACAATGTCTAATGTAGAAGAGCACACAGACATGAAGATACTGCTTTCTTTTTTGTAGCATGCATCTGTACATCAATTATCCATAGAAGTACTAACCTGTTTTAGGGTCTACGGAGAAGTAGGGCTGTCCCTGGAGAATACTGTAAACCACTCGAGCACTGTTCCCATAGGTAGGGTCATCTGCATCAGTAGCTGTCACCTGTAGAACAGAGGTACCTGTGCATTCAGGAAAACAAATGATTAAGCACATGATTAATTTGTACCCAGAAAAAAATGTTTATGTTGAAACATCTGTGGAAAGTGATAATGTCTTATATTTCTTAGATCATCCTTCAAACATAATCCTCGCTTTCTTTCTGTGCAACCAGTTGTTCTAAATGAGAGCCCAGGATGGAACATTGGGTTTCAGTTATTTTAATATGAGTCTTTATGTGATGATACCATTATGAAGGGTCTGTTTTAACCTTCATGTAATCAGGGTGGGTTGGGTCAATTCTCAAGAATCAAATTGGTGTTAACTGGCGGGGGAGGGGGATAAAATCAAAAGTATTTTGTGGGTGTACAGTTGAGTCTTGAACAATGCTGGGGTTACTGACGATTTTTAATTTTAATAATTCAGTCAATGATTTAGGTCCAACACATCTATAAAGAGTCTAATATCTGCTTAACTACAAAGTTTTTACTTCCATGTTGAAATTCAGACACGACTTTAAGCAAAACTAGTTCTGTACCTTCAAAGGATCCTAGAAATAGATCCTCTGAAGGGACAGAACTGGTTAATATAGAATTCCAAGTTCATCTGACAATCCTTATTAGCAGATCATACATATGCAGTTGGCCCTTCATATATATGATTGCTCATATATAGGATTGAGGGCAGGAGAAGGGGGTGAGAGGATGAGATGGTTAGATAGCATCATTGACTCAATGGACATGAGTTTGAGCAAACTCCAGGAGACAGTGAAGGATAGGGAAGCCTGGAGTGCTTCAGTCCATGGAGTTGCAAAGAGTGGGACGTGACTGAGAGACTGAGAGACCAACAATATTTGGTTCCACATCCATGAATGTAACCAACTGCTGATTGTGTTCTATGTTCTGATCTGCAGTGGTTGAATTTCTGGATATGGGACCATGGATATGGATATTGAGGGCCAACTAAAGGACCTGAGCATGTACAGGTGTCCATGGCAGTGCTGGAACCAATTCCCTTCAGATACTGAGGGATAACTGTATATATAGACTTTTAATAAAATGCCACAATTTTGGCCTCTAAATAGAATTTTTACATTGAGATGCTAAGTAAAAATATAACTAGCAATTATGCACACTCAGAAGAAAAAGACTGCTATATACATAAAAGAAACTTTTAATTGTGGATAATAAAACATAATAATAGTGACACCAAATTCTAGTGAGAAATTAGGCCACTCACACAAAGCTGGTGGAAATGTAAATTTAGCAAATTCTTAAATAAACATACATTTACCATGTAGCAGCAACAAATTGTATGCTTGGGCATTTATGCTAAGGTCATGAAAATATATGTTCACATAAAAACCTGTTTTACAAATATTCAGAGATATTATTCTTAGTAGCACCAGACTGGAACACAGCTCAGATATCCTTCAATGGGAAAATGATTAAACAAACTATGCTACAATATGATTGAGGAATACTTCTCAGCAATAACAAAGAACAGAATATTGATATAAAAATCAACTTGGATAAATCTTCAGGAAATTATGCCTAGAGGGTGGAAAAAGACAACCCCCAAAGGCTATTTACTGTATGATTCCTTTTATTTAACATTCTTGAAGTGATGCAATTTTAGAAATGAATGACAGATTAGTAGTTGCTAGAATCTGCGGGGGAAGGAGTGGAAAGGTGTGGGTTTGGTTATAAAAGGGCAACATGAGGGATTCTGATAAAGCTGCTACTATTCATTATTTTGAATACGGATATACAAGAACTAAATACCTGCATAACACACAGGTAAAACTAGGGAAATGTAAGTAAGATTGGTAAATCATTTCAATAAACTGGTTATGATATTGCTTAATAGTTTTGCAGGATGATAGCATTGGGTAAAATGGGTAAAGATATAAGAAATCTATTTCTCATGACAGCATGTGAATCTATGATGATCTCAAATTTTAAAGGTTAAAAAATATATCTTCTTGCTTCACTGCTAGTCCATTCGTAGCCCTATTTGGACTTGGATGTGTAAGATATATATATACATATATATATAATTTTTTTTTTTTACTATAGCACTACAGTGTCCAGCTTGATAAACTTTCCAGAGTTAGTCACATGTAGATGATATCTTCCATCATTAAGTATAATTACTACTGTGGAACATTAAAGACTTTTGCTGTGAGTTTCAACATGTGCTCAGTACCTATATTCATCTCTCCAAATTGGTCAGAGAAAACCAGTAGGTAGGTATTTATTCAAAACATTGGTCTAGGAGGGAGGTATTTTCATTTAGTACCTCCTTAAATTGCAGAAATTAAAATCTATAGTAAGTACCTGGGTCAGACTCTAAAAAGGTAAAAAGCCGATACTGTGTCCAAAATATTGCAAAATTATAACAGCCAAATCTTTGATCTTATAGGAAAAATGGTGATCATACTGGGCATATAGGAATTATTTAATACTAGGAGTCCGGAAAAAAAAAGAAGTATAGATAGAAAGCAGTAAAATAATGGCTATCTTTTAAGAAAACACAAAATTTTCAGGTTTTAAAACTTGCTGTGGCCTTACAATACTGATTTAGGTCTAAATAATGTTAATGTCTTAAAAGCAGCCCCAAAGGAACCATTCCATTGAAAAAACTGGTTAAAACAAATTTTTCAAGATTATACCTGATTTACTGTGATAGGCTGGACCACCACAGGAAAGAAAAAGAATGTTCTGCTCGGCTTGAGCTGTCTGTAAAAGCTCAGGCTTGTGAGGTGAAAGCTGAGACAGATGAATGGAATGACAGGTTAGAGAACAATGAGAAAAGGAGAAATAAAAGAAAGAAAAGCAGCCTGGTTGTGTTGAATAAGTGGTGGTTGAAAGTACCAAAAAAAAGAAGTGGGCAGAGCAGAAAAGAGATCCAGAGGAGTGAAAGAAAACATACTAACTCTCTACCCTAATTCAAAAAATAAGGCAATTATCAACCACAGACACCTTGGAACAGTTGGTCTCATGGGTTTCGAGCAATCCTAATTGTGCATAAAGCAAAGAACTGTAAATGTCCTCTATCATTGTTCTTTGGTGGCATCTGAAGGTAGCAGGCTGCCACTTTGCGTAAACAGATTGCTGGTTGAGGGAACATTAGTATATATACAGCACAGCTCAACCAAAAGTCAGCCTGCCCTGAACACAAGAGTAGAATTAAATAGCAGGGGTCAAAAATAAATCCTGAGTTTACTCAATTGTTCAAACATTCCCTACCAAGAGATTTTAGACCAAAAGGAAAACATATACTTTTATTTTCTTATTTATTTGGAGGTTTGATGGGAGCATTTAAAGAACTATTGTTACTTTTGGAAGTTTTCTTTTATTTTTGTTTTTGTTTTTTTTAATATATAAAGAATAAAAACATAGACTGCTTTAGTGTGTGTGTTATGAGTTGAATGATTTTCCCTCTAAGTTCATATGTCACATTTTTAAACTCTAGTTGCTTAAATGGTGAAAATGCTGATGCTCCATTGTGTCTCTTTGAGACACTACAGACTATAGCCAGCCAGGCTCCTCTGTCCATGGAATTTTCCAGGCAAGAATCCTGGAGTGGGGTGCCATTTCCTACTCCAGGGGAAATCTTTCAAACCAGGAATCAAATCCATGTCTGTTGCCTCTCCTGAGTTGACAGGTAGATTCTTTATAACTAGCACCACCTGGGAACCATATAAAACTGAACCACATAAATATTTCCCCTACTTCCTTCATAACATTTCAGAAAATGAACTGAGACAGTTTTTTGTCTTAGTCATCAGCTCTCTTTTTTTCACAATAGATTGCTCACCTGGGCAAGGAGCTTGCTTATCAGGCAGCAGTTTATTTATCATGGTTCACTTTACCCAGTCTCTCTCCATCTGTCTCTGGCCTGTATGAATGCTCAGTCATGTCTGACTCTGTGACCCCATGGACTTTGTAACTCACCAGGCTCCACTGTCCATAGGATTCTCCATGCATGGATACTGGAGTGGATTGCCATTTCCTACTCTGGGGGATCTTTCTGATCCAGGGATCCAACCTGCATCTCTCTCACCTCCTGTATTGACAGGCAGATTCTTTACCACTGTGCCATTTAATAGGTGAAATAGGGTCACTATAGATGTAATTAAGATGAAGTCATACTGCAATAGTTTGGGCTACTGATCTAGTATGACTGCTGTCCTTATAAAAATAAGACACTTGGAAAAGATGGATACACACACACACACACACACACACACACACACACAAGAAGTACATTATGTGAAGATGAAGGCAGAGATCAAGATGATATTTCCACAGGACAAGGTAAGTCAGATTGCCAGCACAGCAATAGAAGCTGGAGGTGTCGGCTTGAAAAGACCCTCCCCCAGTTCTTTAAGAGGGAATATGGCCCTGCTAATAATACCTAGACTGTAGACATCTAACTTCAGGAACGGTGATAACAGAAAATGCTTAGTTTTTAAGTTTGTGATCCTTTGGTTTAGCAGTCCTAGCAAACTGATATATTGTGTTATAGCTGCAGTGGGAGGAAACTGACATTTATTCTTAGAATTTGCAGTTGTTCTTTAACTGACTCTAGATAAGAGTCTGAAGTTAAAAGCCATGAAAAAATGATAATATCCTCTTTGATGTCAGATACATCATAAATGAGGTACAATCAAAAATTAATTCCACAAATAGAATTAGGTAGAAATGAATGTTATTTGATTTTTTTGAAATATTAGGCATTACTAGTGATCCAACTTTTGGCCTTTCTAAGTAAATTAATTAATTATATTGGTTATTTTAATGAAGACTTTTTATTCCTGGTTGAAAAGTTTAAATGAAAAAAAAATCCTTATTTTATATCTATGTCTGAGAAAAGTATTCCACGTTGGACCATTCAATTCCTTTGTTCATGCTATCGGCCCTAACTGTATACATAATAGAAAAGGATTATTATCCTCTACCGTGCTAGATCTCCAAAGAAAAATATGAGAAGTGATACCTAGAAGCCATTATTCTAC